GGGGGGGGGGGCTCAGCCTGGCCAGAACCCTTGCGGGATGTCCAACTGCCAGCTTAGCTAAGGACTGACATCCTTAGCGCTGCTGCGGAGGCGGGAAAGGCTCCTGCCACCGCCGCTGCACTCACCAGCTGTGAACCCAGCTTCTGGCTGAGCAGCACTCCCCCTGTGGGAGCACACTGACCACCAGGGAGCAGCTCCTGCATTGAGCATCTGCCCCCTGGTGGTCAGTGTGCATCATAGCGACCGGTCGTTCCTCCGTTCAGTCGATTTGCATATTAGCCTTTTATTATATAGGATTGGCTTTGTATTTTTTTTAATAAGAAGAGGAGATGGCAGACAGATTTATTATCATTAATAGGCCTGGCAGTCTAGGAAAAAAACATTATCACTTGGATATCTTAAGAAACAGCTGTTTTTCCAATAACAGATACTGTTTACTAGAAGTCACTTCAGGTGTGAAAAGTAAATTATTTACCTAAGTCTTCTATACAATAGCATAGAACTACCCATGCAAGCCCAGCTAAGATCCTTTCAATATTCCTTCCTTAAATTTGGCTATATAATGATTGTTCTTAATGGTAATAAGCATCATTTTATAAAACAGGCAATACTTTCTATGCAATTTATTCTAGAGAAATAAACATCAAATCTACTTTAAAAAAAAATATTTCCCACTCTCACTATGGCTGATTCATTCCCTGAGCATGAATGAATTCTCTTTACCCTCATTGTTTTTTAATATAAACTGAACTGAAATCTGCTTGTAGGGATCTTGATGGTGAAACTAATTTTTTAGATGGAGAACAGCATTTCCAAATAGTTTATTACTTTTACAGTTATTTCTACCCACTGTGGCATTTAATTTTTCATGTACCTATCACAATGCTGCATATGGAAGCAGCACTAGTAAAAAGATAATTAAGGGTAGGAAATGGAAATTTTAAAGTGTATCTTTATCCAAATACAATGAAAGAGCAAAAAAGAAAAATTGGCCACAAACATTTTCATTTCTATACCCATGCCATTTCCAAATCGCCTTCTGCTATTAACATGAAAAGTAGAAGTGGTAAAACTCTAACCTAATGATCTATACAAAAAAGAAGACAATTTACCTCAGAAACTCACTACACATTGCAATATATTCAAATGGTGAAAAGATATAAATTCATTCAGAAATACCATACTATCTGGCTGTCAATATAGTCTCTTGAATAATTATATTAAACATATTACTACAAAATGTACCAAGACGTAGAGAAGAATACTATATTTGTGAACTGCAATAACAAAACAAAACAGAGGTCCCACAAGGCTAAAGTCCAAGCTGTAATTACACATGACGTGTATGCTGAAAGCAGTCACATGTACAAAAATGTGACAAGTAATCCAGATGTTTTAAAAAACCTGTTTGTCTCAGATTATATCCAGTCTCATCTGGTAGGTTTCTGATAAGCCTGTTACATAAAGTGTATTTCCCTCCTGCTGATAAGAAACAGCTTGCAGATATCCATAAATCTCTTAAGAAGGGAGCCTACTTTGCAATATTGGTAACTCTATAGTTTCCTATTACATTCATTGGTCTGAAAACGATTCATAACGAAAATGTTTTTCCAAGTCCTTTACCAGTTTTTCAAGTTTTAAATCAAAAGAAAGTTGGAATGTATTGCTTCTTGTCATCAACAGGCATTTCAAAAGGAGGGTAAATAACCAAAATCAGGAGTATTGGTCAAGTTAGTAACAGGCTTCCCTTTTGTTCTAAATCTTTTCATAATCCTTTTTTTTCCAATTTTTCCAGTATGGCCTGGATTTTACAAACAGCCTCTTTCCTGGCCTGTCGGACAGAGTCCTGGCCCCCAGTTTCAATTGAATCCAGTTCCAAAAGTTCCTTGGTTAGCATCTCTTCCAGAAGCCAGTATGCTTTGTCTGTCTTTTTTCCTATGAACTCTTCTACTTCTTGCTCAAGATATTGGACCTTCTCCATCACTTGTATGATTTTTTTAATACTTGGGGGAGTACCTTCATCTGAAGGCAAACACTCTTCCGGAAGATTATTACTTTGCTCTTGATTGCTGGGATGTTCATTGGTGGTGTTAGCATACAGCTGAGGCTCCGCACTATACTGGACTTGGGTATCCAAATGATCTGAATTATCACTGTTCACTGTTCCCGAGGACTCATACTGATGGACATTGCAAGGAAAGTTGTGCCGGTTCATGCCTTGATCTGATTGGCTATAGGGGTATGAGGAATCCTTGAGGTGGGAGGGCAAAGAGGGGGGAAAAAGCTGTTTTAATGGGAATCCATCAACACCAGATTTGTTAGCCCAGATCTTTCACCTGATCAGGAAGGTACATGAAAAGATTCCCCACCAATTAAACTGGACCTCCCTCCTTAATGATTTGAGAAAAACACAGCCCTAAAAAGATAAAAGGGAGTGCTCTGTCAAGAAAAAGGCAGAGAATTTCTGAGTATAATGGCAGGAATCTCCCTGGGTAGTTCATCATGAACAACTCATAATCTACCCTTACTACCTCACAATCCACTGAGTGACATAATAAATAGAAATTAGTTCTGCCCATAAAGAATTAAAACCTTAATGCACATCTTGAAAAACCAATCATATTGGTTTTGTCTTCTGTCTATAGATTGAGGTAATAAAATACAAATCTTTGATTTAATGTTCAGATAGTATTACAACAAACAGTAAATGAACTGTCTTTTAGAAAGATGATGTGAACCTAAATCTGCTCTAAAAAAGTCTTTTGTGTGTTTTTTTTAAGGAAACGGGACTAAATAAAGCTATAGATAGTAGTCACCAATGTTTAGGAGTTAGTCCCCACTTAACATAGACCAATGGAGAAGAGTTTCATGTTGTGCTTTCTTAACTACCCAAACATCAAAAGAACAACCTTTCGGTCTCCTACCTTGGGCTGCTGGGGTGGTGGTGATGGTGGAGGTGGCTGAGGAGAGCCACCGCTAGGCCATGGTGAAATACTTTCACTCATGTAAAGATTCCCAGGTGGTGCTGAGGGCGCAGCTGCAGGCCAGGGGTAACGGGTTCCCATTCCATAAGCATCAGGAGAAGCCCATGAGTCCTCCTGTGGTCGTACAGATGGTCCTGGCTGTGGAACACTACGATTATCATCCCCATAAGGATAATGGGGCAGGGTCATTCCAGGGTTCTAGATTGAAAAGAATGAAATATGCTGGTCATTGCTAAAAAAATTTTTTAAAGTAATAAAAATATTCTCGTATTAACAGATTCTGAGATACTGCCTCTTTCCTTAACAGTATATTTTAGCTACTACTGAGTAAACTGTAGCATCTCTGTTCAGTTACAACATATTTTTCCAAGCCTAAAAAGCTTGGTTCCAAAGATACTAAGGGCAGATTTGCTGATGATCAAACTCAGAAGGAATAGGGTCTAAAATTCAATGTCTGAAGCACAACATAAGTCTGCCCCTACATACTATAAGTAAGTAGACCCATATACTATAAGGAAGCAGAAACAAAGACATATTGAGGATAAAAAAGGGGTCACATACTAAACCTGACAAGCTCAGGGGAGGCCTACATGGTGGGCCTTACAAACTCAGAGACCGAAAGTAACCACTTGTAACGGTCTGACATGAAAACTTCCTAACTCTAAGTGAGTCTTGGCGGGTAGTCATGTCCTAGGCCAGTATCTTCCTTGACAAGGATCAATCTTTACCTTAACTGAGCCTGTCTATTATCTTTTTGCATTTATGATAACATATCTTTGGAATGTCAGAGTAATCCCCTTTTTCCAGACCCCTCAGGGCACAATCTCCCACCAGAAAACTAGAGCCCAGAACCTCTCATTGTTATCTTGTTCTCCCACCTACTGTCTCTAAGTTCTGAAAGAGCCTACTGTCTCTACGTTCCGGAAGAATTAACTGTTTACTATCCTGTACCCACCAATGTGAAAAAGTATATGTCTATCCATTTTACTCTTTATCCAACCCCAGAGATTTCCTTTGCTTTCTTCCGCCTCCCTAATTTTCCACCAGTGGATTTCATGTAACCCTCCCTGGGTCTCCTCCTTTGATTCTAATGTATAAAATAAGGTGCAAAACTGCCCTTCTCTGAAGCATTTTCTCAATCCACTAAGATTTTGTTTCCTGGCAATTGTTGTCAGTTTGGCTCAAACTCATAAAAATTCTTTACAGGTTTGGACATTTCTTATATTAGCATGTTATAAATTCCTTTTAAAGTGAACAGAGAAATAAACATGACATTACTCATAGAATATTAAAAAATACAAACCCAACAGAAAAATGCTCACCTGTGGTGCAGGATATCCTGGAACCTGCGCCCTAAGAGAAGGTGCTTCAGTCTGGCAGTCCTGCTGGGGATACATCCAACGAGAGACTGGGGTTGGGCTGTTGCCAGGTGAACGGTAAGTGCTTGGAACCTCTGTGGAGTAATTGGTCTGAGAATATCCAGGTGTGTAATAAGTCCCAGAGTATGAGGCAGTATTTGCTCCAGGGCCAGTGGGGTATTGTGGGCCATATGCTCCATTTGTATAAGAATTCAAACTCTGTAAATAAAGCAAAGTTGTGAGAAAAAAAGATGAGTCAGAGTTGAAATGCACTGACTTATTGCCCAACTTTGAAAACTTTGGGAAGAGATCAGCAACTAATGAAAATATCAACTACTAAGCAATCTTCAGAGCATTCTTTCATGTATTATAATCACATATCATATATTAAACTCAGACTATCATTGTAGAGTCTGTGTCATAACAATGGGAGTATATTGAGATGATATGCCTTAGAGCAGTGCTTCCATTCTGAACATTTCCATAGGTATACCTAACAATTAGATCCTATAGCAGAGAACTTGTACTCACAAACTGGGGAGGGGATTCTGGGAAATGTGGGAGAGTGGCTAGAGAAAAAAATAAAATAATCATGATACAATAGAAAGAAAAGACTATAGAGATAGACCTAGTTCTGCCAGAGGCTCTGTGTATATATAAGATCATAAACTTATCTTACAGGATTACAGTGAAAATTAAATGAGATGACATATATGAAATGCTTAATATAGTCCTGGCCAGTTTGCTCAGTGGTTAGAGTGTTGGCCCACAGGCTGAAGGGTATCAGGTTCAATTCCCACTCAAGGGCACATACCTCAGTTGCAGACTCAATCTCTGACCCCAGTCAGGGTGCGAATGGGAGGCAACCAATCGTTTTGTCTCTCTCACACCAATGTTTCTCTCTCTCTCTCTTTCTCTCTCTCTCTCTGTCTCTCTCTCTCTCTCTCTACCTTTCCCCTTCTTTCCCCCCTCCTCTCTCTACTTCACTCTCTAAAAAGAATCAATGAAAAACATATCCTCAGGTGAGGATTTTTTTTTAATGCTTAATACAGTATCTGGCATGTGTATGGTCAATAAAAGGTAATTATTTATAATATCACTAGAGGCCCAATTCACGAAATTTGTGCAAAAGTAGCCTTTGCAGCTGCGGCGACTACCTGGATCCCTCCCTCACAGCCACAGCAGCTGCCTCCAACCCGGGGCTGCAGCCTGGCTTCGTCTGGAAAGACGTCCGGTCTAATTAGCATATTATTCTTTTATTATTATAGATTGTTGTTGGTATCATTTTGGCAAGGTCAGGAAATGAACTGTGATCATGTTCTTTGTACTAACATAAAATCAAGTTTTCCAATATTCATCTTTCTTGCTAAAACTACATAATCTTTCCCACTTTAGATCAAAGAATAAGAATCCTGTGCTGTTATCTATCTAGACTTATTGTGTTGATCATTTCCCAATGTATAAAAATATCAAACCATTATTATGTTGTACACCTCAAACTAATATATTTCAGTTATACCTCAAAAAAAGAATCTGCCCAGTTGGCGTGGTTCAGTGGTTGAGTATCAACCTATGAACCAGGAGATCATGCTTCGATTCCCCGTCAGGGCACATGCCTGGGTTGCAGGCTCAATCCCCAGTGTGAGGCACGAAGGAGGCAGCCGATCAATGATTTTCTCTCATCACTGATGTTTCTAGTTCTCTCTCCCTCTCCCTTCCTCTCTGAAATCAATAAAAATATATATATTTTTTAAAAGAATCCTGCACTAAGTTTGGCTCAGTGGATTGAGCGTCAGCCTGCGGATGGAAGGGTCCCAGGTTCAATTCCGTTCAAGGGCTCATGTCCGGGTTGTGGGCTCAATCCCCAGTGGGGGGCATGCAGGAGGCAGCCAATCGATGATTCTCTCTCATCATTGATGTTTCTGTTTCTCTCTCCCT